GAGGGAGTTACTCAGAAAGAAAGGAAAAAAAGTAGAGATAGTGGAGGTGGCTGACATGAGCAAAACTGAGAGACCGTCCAGACTCTGGGGAATGTTCCAAACAACATACTCAAGATTATGGAAAATAACATAAGATCATCAAGCCTTACCAAGAGTTAAATAAATAATCCAAAAAAACCCCACAAAAACCCAGAAACGTTCAAAGTATTTTTGCAACATTGTTCACACATTTTCTATTTTTTAATATTAAAATTGACCATCTGAAGGATAATAAGGTTCTTCCATGACAATACTTGATTATTCTTACTGAGGTCTTGGAGAAAAACAGTATTTTGAGAATTTTTTTCCCTTCAATGTTAAAACCAAGTGGGGATGCTATGGGTTTCACTTCACTTTTCACAACCTACCTCCGGATAGTGACTCTCACATGGCTCCCCACCCTTTCCTGGCCAGGGAGGTTTTGGATATGACCATGGGGAGAGATGGTTTGAAGAAGGAAAGACATTGAGCTTTTAATTGACCCTGACATCAGCAAGGCTTTGCTGGGTCATCAGAATGACCTGTCCTCTGCCTGGCACCCAGGTCCTGAGCAAGTGCGCCGGGCTCTGTGGCTCACTGCTGGGCGTGGAGAGCTGAAGGCCACCGACTCAGACTTGGAGCCCAACCTTCAGGACAGTGCAGTCTAGAGGAAAGAAAATGATCCCCATGCATCACATTAAAAGGCAATACACTTTCTGGGAGTTGAGTACTTGAGAGGTGGAACTGGGACAACGCACTGATGCTGGGCTGCAATCTGGTCAGTGAGGAGGATTGCCAAGCAAGTGGTCACAGTAACGGTGGGGCCCAGTGAGGGTCAGTGGTTCTCAACCAAGGATGATATGGTCATCTTGATAATGACCAAGATAATGTCGGGAGACATGTGTGTTTGCCACAACTGGGAGGGAGGACTACTGGCATCTAGTGGATAGAGGCTAAGGATGCTGTTGAATGTCCTACAGTGCACAGACAGCTCCTCACCACAGAGCATTATTCAGCCCCAAATGCTGATACCCCCAAGGCCTAAAGAGGGAAGGCAACTCTGGGGTGGCGGTGGGGGAGTGGCATTGAGTCAGCTGTGGCCAAGGTCAAGGTGAGAAGCCGGAACCATGAAGCAAAATGTTCCCTTTTACTGGCACCTGCAGAGATGCCAGCTCGAACCACAACAGCACAGTTGTTTTCATCTGGAAATTTGCAAAGATTTGCAAATTAACACCTAATTCTGGCCCAGCACATGTGGAAAGGGCCTTCACCTAGGTTCCTCCTGGAGACTAATCTGGCATGTGTGTCAAGAACCTTAAAAAGGCTGATACTCTCTGAGTCAGACATTCCATTTCAAGGATTTTTTCCAAAAGGAAATAATCCAGCATACAGAAAAGCCTTATGCCCCAAGTGTTCCTATGAATATTATTCCAAAAAGTGAAAAACACGTAACTAAATTTAAGGACCAACAATGAAGAAATAGTTAAACTACGATATATCCATAAAACACACCATTTCATAGTCAATAAAACTTATCTTTGTAAAATACTGTTAATTTCAGGGAAAATTTATGATAGAGTGCTAAGCGGCAGAGACCCAGAGGGAAATTACACATGCAGAAGGATCTCTGCTATTTCAAAGGAAAAATAGGCATGCATAGAAAGGGAACAGAAGAAAACATACCAAAATATGAACCATGATTATTTAAGGGTACTGAGCCTTTTATTTTGCTTATTGTTATTCTCGGTTGCCTACAAGGCATTAATTTTATAGTCAGGAAAATAAATCTATTTGGGCACAGAAATTTCATGAAGATACTAAAGGCTTGAATGAGGTTAGTGGCTGTGGCCATGGGAAAGAAGGGAAGGACAGAAGAGACTTATGACTTTGCCAATGATTTGATGTGGCAGCAAGGGAGAGGAAGACAGAGTCCAAACATGATGCAAACTTGTAAGCCTGGGGTCCAGGAGGTACGAGAATCCTTACCAAGAGCAGAAGAAAATCTGAGCAGAAAGGTGACATCAGTGGCCTCAGATGTGCCATCAAGAGGCCATGGGAGCAGAGCCAGATGCATGAGCATGATGTCTACCCCACCCGCACCCAACCAGCCATGCAGCCCTGGGCAATGACATAAATAACGTACCTATCCCACAGACTTTTAGGGAGGAGTAAATGGATTAAAAACTAACGAAGTATCTGGGACAGCACAGGATATACAGCGAAGACCTCAGAAATAAGAGCAGAGGATGTGGTGGTTGGAGCACCAGGAGAAATGTGGTTGCTCCTGCCAGACCTCTAAATGTGAATGTTCCCAGACCCTTGTCACTTCCTGTCCTTTTTTCCCAGCTGTTCTTAAACACTTCTGGGGCATAAAACACCACCTAGGGAGAACACTCCCCAGACCATAACTCTAGCCTAGAGCTTTGTTCTAGGCCCCAGATTCATGGGTCCATCTCTCAGTCTGCCATCTGCACCTGCCTGATCCGTTGACACTTCAGACATAACCTGCTTACATGGCACCTGGGATCTCCTCCACTTCTCCTCACCTGGATAAAAATCTTCTCCCTTGTTATTCGAGATATACCAAGAACTCTTAAAATCCACCAGTTAGAAAACAAACAACTCAAAGAAGAAATGGACCAACGCCTTTTACAGACATCTCACCAAAGAAGATGTACAGATGGCAAATAAGCATATGAAAAGATGCTCCACATCACATGTCATTAGGGAAGTGCAAATTAAAACAATAAGATCCACCGCACAGCTATTAGAATGGCCGAAATCCAGAACACTGACACCGCCAAATGCTGACAAGGATGTGGAGCACCGGGAACTCTCATTTGTTGCTGATGGGAATGCAAACTGGTGCAGCCACTTTGGAAGTCAGTTTGTCAGTTTCTCACAAAACCAACATACTCTTCTTACCATATGATCCAGCAATCGTGTTGCTTAAAACATGAGGAGTTGAAAACGTATGTCCACATAAAAACCCGCACAAGGATGTTTATAGCAGCTTCATTTATAATTGCCAAAACTTGGAAGCAATCAAGACATCCTTGATTTTTCAACACCCATTTATGATGAAAATTCTCGCCAAAGTGGGTATAGAGGGAACATA